TTGTACATATACATACTGCATTATGTCCTGCATAATGTACTGTACATACTGCATAATGTACTGTACATGTACATACTGCATAAAGTCCTGTTTATGTCCTCATGCGTGCTCAATGATCCAGATTAAAAAATGTTCCTTTATGTTTATGAAGTTCTTCTAATCCCAAATAGCTAGAGATTAAAAGTCCACACCAAACAAATGCTCAGGACTCCATCAGGCCAAGGGGAGTCAAACGGGGAACCAGAAAATCTACAGGTGTGGTCCTTGCCTCCGTGTTTCTATGTCCCACCTGGAGAAAAAAAAAAAAAGAGATCCATGTGTGGATCTTCTTCGTAGACTATAGCTCTGCTTTCAACAGCATCCCCAACAAACTGGTGGACAAACTGGGGGAACTGGGATTTCCACACTCCACCTGCACATGGGTAAACAGTTTCCTGTCGGACCACAGTCAGGGGGTTTGAGTAGGCCATCACACATCTATGGCCCTCAGCTTGAACACGGGAGCCCCACAGGGCTGTGTGCTAAGCCCCCTGCTCTATGTCCTCTACACACATGACATCACCACAGCAACCCCACAGTCAAATTTGCCAACAACACTACAGTGATGGGGCTCAACAGTGGTGGGGGGATGAGTCCGCAGACAGGGACATGGTGGAACAACTGACTGCTTGGTGCAGGGGGAACAATCTGCTCCTCAACACCTCAAAGACTAAGGAGCTGATCATTGACTTCAGGAAAAAGAAAATGGCAGCCCCACCTGATTATAACCGGAGACGGTGTGGAGAGAGTAGCTGACAACTGTTTCCTGGGGAATCTGACCTGGAGCGTGAACACCTCAGAGTTGGTAAAAAAAAAAAAAAAAAAATAAAAACCAGCAGAGACTGGACTTCCTGAGAGTTCTCAGGAGGAACATCACCCAGAGTGCTGGTGTCTTTCTTCTGATGCTCCACAGAGAGCATCTTAACACACTGCATCACTGTGTGGTATCTCAGCTGCACGGTGGCTCAGAGGAAAGAGCTCCAGAGAGTTATCAACACAGCCCAGAGGCTCATGGGCTGCCCTCTTCTCTCACATCTACACAGTTCCTGCTGCACAGGAAAAAGCCCTCAACATCTTAAAGGACACGTGACGTGTCACCCTGGACATGTTGACCTGTTACCATCAGGGAGAAGGTTCAGATCAATCAAGACGAGAACAAACAGATTTAAAAATAGTTTTTAACCCGTCAGCAGTTACTGAACTTACCTATAACTGTAATATGAACTGAATAAGTACAAATAAGGGACAACTTGTGTAATATCAATCTGCTTGTGTTGCACATTTGGAGTGTTTCAAATCAGTAACTATTACATTTTATACTATTTATAAATTTATTTATAAATTTATTTATACTATATATATATATATAAATAAAACAAAACAACCATCAACATCAACGAGGACCTTACATCCGTATGCTCTTTGTGGACTTCACATCCGCCTTCAACACCATGATCCCCCAAACCCTGATGGACAAACTATCCACATTAGGACTAAGCCCCTCCATCTGCAACTGGGTACTAGACTTTTTAACAAACAGACCACAGTCAGTGAGGATCCACAACTTCTCCTCCTCCACCATAACCCTCAGCACTGGCTCTCCTCAGGGATGTGTGTTGAGCCCCCTCCTGTTCACTCTGCTCACATATGATTGTGCAGCTACCCATCCAGGCTGTCACATTGTAAAGTTTGCAGATGATACAGCGGTGGTGGGATGCATCACAAACAATGATGAGTCCAGCTACAGGCAGGAGGTGGAACACCTGGAGAGCTGGTGCAGAGAGAATAACCTTCACATCAATGTGAAGAAGACAAAGGAGATGATTGTGGACTTCAGAAGGAACAAACACACCTACACCCCCCTGAACATAAGAGGATCTGCGGTGGAAGTGGTCTCCAGCTACAAGTACTTGGGTGTACACATGAATGGCACCTTCAGCTGGAGCAACAACACCACCAGCCTGATCAAGAAAGCTCATCAGAGACTCTACTTCCTCAGACGGCTGAGGCGAGCTGGTCTGGAAGCTCAGTCCTCACCTCCTTCTACAGGTGTGCAGTGGAGAGCATCCTGTGCTCCAGCATCAACGTGTGGCATGGAGGCTGCACAGCTGCAGAAAGAAAAGCTCTGCAGAGAGTGGTGAAGGCTGCACAGAAATCTGTTGGAATCAGCCTCCCCACCATCACAGACATCTACACCTCCAGATGCAGGAAGAGGGCCACCTGCATCATGAAGGACCACACTCACCCAGCACACACACTTTTTGCCCCACACCCCTCAGGAAGGAGGTTGAGGAACATTAAGTGTAGAACCACTAGACTGAGGAACAGCTTCTACCCTGAGGCTGTTAGACTCATGAATCTCTAACTAGAATAATCACTGTGAAAAACCATATCATGTTGCTGCTGATCTGTTTCATGTTGCTGCTGATCTGTTTCATGTTGCTGCTGATCTGTTTCAGTGTTGATGTGTTCATGCGTGCACATCTGCTCACAGACTCATGTTCATGTTTGTGCTGATGTTCAATGTTTTATGTCATGAGTGCTTAGTGTATATTTAGTTGATGTTTTTCTTAGTTCATATCTTAGATGTTATTACTGTTTTTCTTAGACATTTTATTGTTGGATGTAACTGGGACCCTGTGAACATAATTTCGCTCCACCACATGTACCACATGAGGTGCGAATGACAATAAAGAATCTCTGACTCTCTGGTGTGTGTGTGTGTGCGCGCGTGCGTGTGTTAGTTTTTACTTGTGCTCAGGTGCGATGACAATAAAGGTCTTTTGAATAGAGCTCTAAAAATAAAACAGACTCTTTTCTATTTTTGTTTAATCGGTTGGTGAACAGCTGATCTTTCATGTTTACGTCATGAGAACAACATTCGGCTCGTTTCCTCTCAAAAACACTCGGATTCACAACCTAAACTTGACCACAGGTTAAACTGGTTTACCGTGTCTCGATCAAACTCGATGTTCGTCCTCGGAGGAGCTCGCTGCTTCGCATCATCACCCGCAGAGCAGCGGGGACGAAGCGGCGACGCCTCTGCTCGTCGTTTCCGTGAGAACGGAACGTTTTAGTCGGAAACGGAAGCGTTTTGGTTTCACTCGCCTGTTTCTTCGAGGCTGCTCCGGGTCTGTGGCTCTCTGGATCCAGGTCGCCCCTCGATGACCCGAGGAGCGGCAGTCCGGGTTTTTTCTCGTCATGGGGCTTTCATCCGAAGGGCGGGGCTTGGGTGAATATGGGGTGGGGCTTATATGGGCGGGGCTTAAAGGAAGCTGCTATGGCGCGTCACAGGGAGCGCTTTATTTTTATCACAGCGTGAAACAAAAACCAGAGAGACCGCAAAGGTCATGCTGACAACACAGTTCACTCTAATGTGAGTTTTAACTATTAAATGTGGACTATTGATCATCAGATCTCTCTCATCCAAGGCTCCGTTATTGATCTGATAACTGATCAAGGATTTTATACCAGCTCACATTTTCATGTCATTGTACGAAATTCGGACTCATGTCCCAGATCAGAAAGCCTAACAATTAACTAATAAATAAATACAAGAGTACAAATATACAAATATATACACATATATATATATATATATATATATATATATATATAGGGAAGAAACTGCTTCTGAGCCTGCTGGTCTTGCTCTGAAAGCTCCTCAGCCTCCTGCTTGAGGAGAGGGCCTGGAACAGACTGTGCAGGATGAGTGGAGTCCTTCACGATGCGGAGCGCCCTCCCCCTGCATCCTGAAGTGTAGAGGTCCGAGGTGGTGGGCAGGCTGCTCCCCAGTCTTCTGCGCAGCCTCTGCAGAGCCGTCCTCTCAGCAGCAGTGCAGCTGCCGTGCCACACGGTGATGCAGGTGCAGAGAACATCTCCACCACAGCAATAAAAGCTCCTCAGGAGAGAGCTCCCAAGTCCAGCTCTCTGCAGCTTCTACTGTATATCCATCCATCCATCCATTTTCTTTACCCGTTTATTCCATTTTGGGTCACGGGGGTCGCTGGTGCCCATGTCCAGCAGTCACTGTGCGAGGGGCGGGGTACACCCTGGATGGGTCGCAAGTCCATCACAGGGACACATGGAGACAAACGAGACAAACAATCATTCACTCTCTCACTCACACCTAGGGGCAATTTAGAGTTACCAATCAGCCTAACATGCATGTTTTTGGTCTGTGGGAGGAAACCGGAGCACCCGGAGAAAACCCACGCATGCACGGAGAGAACATGCAAACTCCACCCAGAAAGGCCCCCGGACCGGGGTTTGAACCAGGGACCTGCTCGCTGAGAGGCAGCAGCTCTACCAGTTGCGCCACCGTGCTGCCCCTACTGTATATCATAATGATTTATTCTGTCTGACAGAAACCGGTCTGCAACAGAAGGATTTTATTAGTATAAATGAATCCACCCCTGCTAATTATTTATATTTTCATGTAGAACAGGACTATTCAACTGGCGGCGCGGGGGCCAAATCAGAACCATGAACTCAGTTCGCCCCACCAATGGGTTCGTTTTTAAATAAAACTAGATTTTAAACCATTAAAAAACTACTTAATGACTGATGTCTGGGTCCTGAGCTCATGGCTTTCAGTAACTGTGGCCCCCCGAGCAGTTTAGTTAACCCCGTCGTAGAACAACAGGTGGAGTCGCCGCTCTCTTTCAGTTAGGATTATTGATTAACGCTAAACCAATTATTAATTATAATTATTTTTTTCTCATCCAAAATGTGAATCAGAAAAGCAGTTTTACTAGTTGTTAGACATCGTCCACCAGACGCTTATTCTCAGTTTTGTCCCGACTTCTCAGACTTTAAAATGTCATGCTTCTGACAAAATGTTTACATTATTGAGTTTTTGTTGAAAAAATTAGAAATAGTAAATATTTCCAATTTGTTTACAATAAATTCTTAAGTCAGTTCTGGAAATTATCTGGTTAGAGTTCAGATTATTCCATTTTGATTTTAGCTCCAACTATTTGCTTTAACACTCTCCATCACTCCATTTCCTCCCCAGAATGACTTTATTACGTGGACTCTCGTCCTCGCCACTTTTACTCTGTTCCTATTCAGAACTTTGCTTTTGGACTTGTCGCCTCCGAGTCCATCGATGTCTGACTCTGTTGAGAATAAAATGAAAATGATACAGGATTAAAAAAAAGTAATGTTGGAAAATAATTCTAAATAATTGTATTTTAAGAATAATGTTATTATTTTGAGAATAAAAGCAGAATGAAACCAGCCACTAACCACAACTTGTATAAATTAACCTCAACAAGTTTCAACAATAAGGAACGTTTGGTTCTGTTTCAGTAAATTGGGTGTTAATTTAAATGTTTATACACGTTTAATAATGTATCCTGTTTCTACGTTCTTTTAGTTTCACTCCGCATCAAAAAACTTGTGCTCAATCTTCTCTGGGAAAGGAGTTAAATGCACTACGTGTGTCCAGGTCAGAAGAATACTGGATCTGAAAGATCATCAAGAACCTGAAGGTGAGAGGTTTCATGTCAGGAAGAGTTGTAAGGACAAGGATGTAGACCAGTGGGGCCTGATCCTGGTCCTCGAGCCGTTTTCCTGCTCTTCAACATGCCTTCATGTTCTGCAGAAGCCCGTTAATCACATGCAGGACAGTGGCCCTCAGGGACCAAATGGGACACCAGTGATGTAAAGTGACTCAAGGACTCCACGAACAAAAAGGAATACAACAATCCAAACACAAAAGAAGGGACACAAACCCCACAAAGCTAACTAGCAGCAGACAAAAACAAAAGTACCAAAACCACAAGGTGAACGTGGAGGAAACGGCAACAGACTCAGACCAGATGGTTAAGTAGACTGGGAGTGGAGACTAATGCTTACAAGGAACAGGTGTGTTTACCTGAGGGCAAGAGTGACTGATGGAGAAACGGCCAAAGGCGTGAAAAGACATCTGAAAACACAATCTGATAGAAGCTGCTTCTGTCCATGAATGACATCAAGGCCGGACTGGAGCGTTGCAGGAAGTCCAGTTCCAGTTGTGATCCGCCCGTGGACAGGGTGATCGCTACCAGGAGTCCTGAAGGGTCCTCACACCTCCCGTGTGCAACGTTACTTCTCATCTGAAAGATCTTCAGCCCCAGAACACAGACAAGAATAGAGAGGCGGTCAGAACTCCTCCAAGATCAACTTCTTCCAACAATCAGAGCAACGACTAAAGTTCAGAAAGCAGAACATTTGTTGCTTTTACCTGCCGTCACTCTGGAAAATGTTTGTGGGGACCTCTGGTGGTTCAGCTTTTTACTCTCCATCAGTGGCGTTTCATTTAAACAGTCACTTCATGGGTTTCCTTTGAGTTCCACTTTAAGAAGGGACTCTTTCCCTCCCGCTACATTAAAAAGCAGTTTGTAGTCTTCACGATTCAATTCAATTCAAAAACACTTTATTAATGCCAACGGGAAATTAAATGTTGCAACTCGTTATTGTTGTTTCATTGAGATCTTATAGATACTGATGGTTGTACAGGAAGGATCTCTTGTAAAGGTCCGTCCCACAGTGGATCCAAAGAAACTGGCAGCAGACTCAGCTGGCCTCTCGGTTCCTCCGGATTACAGGACCACCTGAATCCCGGGAAGAACTCCTCCGTGAGTGATGGCCGCTCCTCCCAGCAGCCTGCCGACCTCCTCGTCACTGTGGACAGACAACTGTAGGAGTCAGGGGTGATCCCGGTCCTTGCCGTCATGAGCCGTGTGTTTCCTGCCAGTTCCAGGATCTCAATGGTCAGGCGCTCGAGCACAGCTGGTAGGGAGACGGGAATGCATCTATGGCACCTCCTTTTTCAACTCATTTGACATTTGGGGCTGTAGTTAAGAGATTATTTGAGCTTTTGAGAGGTTAATCAGCAGCTCCCAGTTGTAAAAAAAAACCCACCTTGTTGTCATGGTTACGCATCATAACAAATGCCTAAAAGTACAAAAGTTTCAGTAAAAATCCTTCCAGCTGCACAGCATCTGACAACAGAGGAAACAATCATCCGAAAAAAATGTGATTTACATCCAGAAAAACAGGAATTAAAGTTTCCAAAAGCAAAATCTCAGAATGAAAGTAACAGAGCTGCTCCAACATGCAGCCACCTGGAGCGGCGCAACTCTAGAATCAGAAATATCAGAAAATATAACATTATATCAGCAAGAATATCAGAATAATTTGTTTATACATTAAACCATCTATATTTTCAGCTTTAGATCTTACGTCCAGGACTCGGATGCTAATATGCATCTACTGCAAAACGGGTGGAAAAAATACTAATGACAGTATTTTAGATGTAACTTGTATTCACCAGTATGACAACATTTAAATGTGCTCATGCTGTAAAGTATGGGATCAAACCTAAAACAGGTTTATCTAAACTATATCGAGCATTACAGTTTGAAAGAGTTTACCTCAGCAGTTTTTCACAAACATCCAACTCTGAAATGTGGGTCTGCACTTAATGTAAACAAAGCACTCGACTGAATTCACTAAAAACTACAGACGTCCTGTGATTTACCTACATTCTGTAAACAAATATGGCCGATAAATTTGACACTTGCAGTTTTTCTGCTTACAAATTTTACATGTATGGACAACTTTACCATCAATACTAGAAAATATTGTACAGATTACGACTTTGCAACGAGTGCCTTTAACACAAAAGCAAGAACACGTTGTCTTCATTCTTGGGCTGCTGAAGTTTTAGAAAAGAGACAAACAACAGAAGTAATCAGAGAGCCACGCTTTTAAAACACGAGACAAGTTTTTATGATTTAAAAACCAGACTGGGTTCTGTTGTTACATGTAAAGGAACATCGGTAGACAAAATCTGAAAATATAAAATAAATTAAAGTGAAAGAAACAATCAAAATGTTTTTTTTTTCAGCTTTCAAACATTTCTCCACAGTCTGCGTTGACAATATTCACATTTGACATCAATAGTGTTGATAA